CGCCTCCCCCTCCCTCCACTCGGTCTCTTTACGATCGGCCGTCAGCGCCCTTACCCTCACGGGCTCGGCGGGCCTTGGCACAAAGCTCTCCCATCCCCTCCAACGCGCTACAAAACATCCAGCTCCGGAACGAAAACAACCACACGTATCTCACCAATGTACAGCACTCGTTCGACGGGAAATCAAACATACAAATCTATAAATGAGACGGCCAATTTCAACATGCTGTAATGACGCCTGTCGGGGTTGGAATCGGCGGTAAGAATTATCCCCGTAGCCACAATACAGCGGGTTGGAAAGCCACGCTCAGCCTCGCTCAGCCCACGCATCCATTGTCGTTGCCTCGACTCTCCCGCTCCGCGCGCTCTGTATTCCCAGCGGGGCCAGCCAGGGCAGCCAGGGCTGAGGGGGCATCTCGTCCCACAATTGATCGCCCAGTTTACCACGTGGCGGGGCGCGGGGCGCAGGGACCCGCAGGGCACCGCAGGGCACGGCCGCGGGCCGGCGCTACACGATGGGCGTAACCCCCGTCGTTACGTGGCGTTTTACTCCCGGACGGTGGAGGAAGAGGGAGGGAGAGAGAGAGAGATAAAAAGAAACAGCGAGCTGAAATATGACAGGTCACCAGAGAAGATTGGGGCGAAGTGGGAAGTAGGGGGGAAGGGGGCTGGCATAGGTAAGGGACCGTAGGGACCATGACCACGTAACTGTTGCCGTGACTGTGGTCCCGCACCACCTCACCGACGACCGCCGTGGTGGACGGCTAGGGACTACCCGCCGCCCGCGAACCCCAGCCTTTGTTGTGTGTACTTACTCGTCTATCTCCTCCTCCTGCGAGATGGTGCGTCGCGACATGGCGGCGGCTGGGTGACGGACACTCGCGGCACTCCCTCTCACGCACTCACGCTCTCTCACAGGCACTCGCGCACTCACTCACACTCACACGCTCACACTCACGCTCGCCGCTCACGCTACGCCTTGCTCTTTTCGCGCGAGACTCCCGCCCCTCTCGTGCCCGACGCTGGATTCCAACTGGGGCGTCGCGGGGCGGGCGCGCCTGCCTCCGGGCCACCCCCTTTGCCCCCCTCCACTCCGCGTATGCGCCTGCCCCCGCCCCCCAC